AATAAACATATGTAAAATCCTGTTACAGCTTTTAAAATAAAAGGCAAATATTCATATTGCACCCTACCTCTTCCAACCCCTTCTGCCATAATAGAATTGAAACCCTCACATAAGTAGAAAAAAGAATGTTTGCCTGGGGGATGGAGAAAAGGAACATGAAGAAGACTGAGTCAATAGCAGCAGGTCATGGAAGACCACACTCTTACTTAGGATTTCTCTCTCCTTCCCATTATGATAATATTACACTATTCAGCAAAGCACAAACAGAAAATGCCATTTAGTTACAATGAATTAGAGCAGTCTCGTGCTAATCTGACTGCTGACACAGAAATGGCCCTCACTGCAGCCTGTTCTTTACATTTAACTAGTAATGCAAAGTATCAATCAAGCTCAAGTCCTGGTGACCGTGTGGACACATCCATAGTATCTGACTAACTCATTGGAGGATGGAACTTCCCTTTGTAGTACAAAGTAGTCACACTTCCATTACTGTTCTTGGAATTTTCCCTAACACAGTTTTCTCCAAGCACCCAACATGGAATGATCAATAACAGTAGATAGAGAACCACTCCTGCTACTTCAATCTGCCATGCTTCAGGAGTACACATTCTACCATATCTGTACAAATCCAATGGACCAGTAACACTGCAGCAGCTCCCAATCCAACTGGTAACAGACATTTGAAAAATAACAAAGTTGTCTTCAAGTTAAGCTTGCACCCTGACAGCAACCATATGGACACATCCATGAAGTTCTTTTGGAAACAATACATGCTACATAGTGTATTTCCTTCAGGATGTTATATGCACAGCTTTATCTACCTCTTTGGTGAGACAAAAGAAGAATGGAGGCTGAAGGGGCTGGTCAGGATCACATTGGCTTAAAGCATCATTAATTACCACTTTGATCATATCCACTAATGGTCATTTGACTTTGACACCTATGTCATGGGTGCTGAGGATAACACTGTACATATCTTGAGACCAACATTGTAGGAATAAGGAGGATATTAATGCCAGTATAGCTAATGATAATTTGACATTCATGAACTGGGGATTTGATGAAGGCAATGTCATGGGGTCAAGAACACCAATAAATAGCCAAAGAATGTTTGGAGTTTTGTTTCCCAATTGTAAAGAAGCAATAATTGTATTGTATAATTGTTGAATTTATATAATTTTATTTTTTTATGGAAATATGCAGTCAGTCAAAACCACACGTAAGTTCCCCAAGGATTGGGGCCTGGCAATTATAGTTCCAATCTTCAAGAAGGGAAAGAGAGATGATCCTGCTAACTACACGCCAATTATGCTGCTCAACATAATCAGCAAACTTTATGCTAAGCACCTCCATGATAAACTTAAGGACTGGCTGGATCAGGCACCATCGACCAATGCTTGGTCCTACAGCACTCGACTGAAAAATATTCAATTAATAATGTAGCGTCACTGTATGCTGCCTTCATAGATCTCTGATTCTATATCCAGGACCAAACTATGGGAGAAGGTTTTTTTTGTTTGTTTGTTTCTTACTGACTTAAAATGATTTACATTCTTCAGTTAGGTTGGCATGGAAATTTAATTGCTGATAGAGATGAATGTATCAGTTTGTGTTTCTTTTAGTTTTTGGTCTTAAACTTGACTGGTTTTAAAAGAAGTCTGTATGAAAATCTGAATACATTGTAATGCTTGCTTACTTTAACTTTGCATTATGTTCTAATATGCTTCCCCAGATAGGCAATGCCTATTCATCTTTCAGCTCCTACTGGTCCTGATACAGTGGTACCTTGGGTTACGAATGCCTCTGTTGACAAACTTTTCGGGTTACGACCAGCTCTGGCCGCAAAAATTTACCTCGATTTGCGAACTCCGCCTTGGGGTATGAGCAGGATACACGGCCATTTTCCCTCCCGTGACACGGTCCGCAGCCATTTTTCCACCCCTGACATGTGGTCCGCGGCCATTTTTCCGCCCCTGACACGTGGTCCGCGGCCATTTTCCGCCCCTGACACGTGGTTTGCGGCCATTTTCCGCCCAACACGTGGTCTGCGGCCATTTTTCCACCCCTGACATGTGGTCCACGGCCATTTTTCCGCCCCTGACACGTCCGTGGCCATTTTGCGCCCGAC